CAAAGGCAGTATTTTATATATATATATATATATATATATATATATATATATATATATATATATATATATATATATAAAAGCTCAATAGATGCCTCATAGTGAGTGCATGTTCTTTATTTTATTTAAATTTATGGAAATCAGTTGTTGCTAAATCAAGCATTATTACTACTGCTCATACTTATAATTTAAACAAACCCATAAGCCTAAGTATTAAGCGTGGGTGTGTGTACATGAATGATACCTCAAATCACGCAGCTTATTGAGGATATGTGTGCTATTGCTAATGCCCAGACTTCCTCTCAGAACAGCCCGTCAGTGCTGTAGAAACCACTCAGAACTTCTTGATAGCTACCCAGAATGCCCTAGCAACATGACACAAGCTCACATTTATGTAAATTGTGTTATGTACTATTACATATTCAGTTTAGATTATTCCTGTGGGACTCCCCCACTCAGGTTGGGATGCATTTTGTTGTTCTGTGTTTGAAAATCTCCAGCTAAGCTCCAGCACGTAGAATGACTTCACCCCAGTATCTGGCCTCTCTGTTGAAAACAGCCCCACACTTATCTGGAGCAGACGTTTCCTTCAGACATTGATTAATGTGACTCATTGGCCATGCTCATTCGCTCAGCTAAACAACCCGTGGGCTTTATTGTGCACGTCACTCTTCATCAGTCACATCTTTCTGTCTTTATTCTGGTTGCGTAGAGATAGTTGTCTTTATTAATTGCCTGTGGAGGTCTTTGTGTCATTGTACATCATATAGGCCACTTTGCTTTAGGATAACAAGATTATATGCAATCAGGGATGAATTGTTGAAATCACTTCTCTCCCCCCGGCCTTTTTCAATTATTAATTAACTGCTGTAAGTTTAGAAAGTGAAAATGATTTGCCAAATTTTCAATCAGCAAAAAGTGCTTAAATCACATATACAATCAATCACTCTCAGGAAATCGAGATCCTTTTTTATTAAAATGTTTTTTTTATTTAATTTATTTAAAATAGAAACAATATACATTACTGTTCAAAAGGTTGTTTTTTCTTTCTTTTTCGGAACGAAATTAATATTTTATTTAGCAAGAATGTGTTAAATTGATTTTAAAAAAGAGATATTAACAACTTATATTGTTACAAAAAAATTCTAATTTGAATAAACGCTGTTCTTTTTAAATTTGTATTCATCAAAGAATCCTGAAAAAAGTATCACCGGTTCCAAAAATTTTAAGCAGCACAACAGTTTCCAACGTTGATAACAAATAAGTATATTAAAATGATTTCTGAAGGATTATGTAACACTGAAGACTGTAGTAATGACTGATGAAAATTCAGCTTTGCATCACAGAAATAAATTGTATTTTAAAGTATATTAAAGTAGAAAACACTACTTTAAATTGCAATTATATTTCACAATATTACCGTGTTTTTTTCTGTATTTTTAATCAAATAAATGCAGCCTTGATGAGCAGAAGATAATTATTTTCTTCCATGAAGTTGTTTATTTTATTTTAGGTTTATTTGACTGGGACAATGCACATCAATAATACATAAATGTACAATGTGCCAGAATTAGCCAGAAGGCTATTTTGCATATGCAGTCCCTGGACTGATGGTAAAATTGTCACCCTAAAAATCTATACATAATACATGCATACATACTCCAAAATACATATAAAGTTATACATAATACATACTGTGTAATTATATCCCAATACAATAAAAATCAACATCCGCTTAAAAATTACGCTATACATGGTACCAACAAATCAACACCAGCTCACTCATACACATACAATCCAACTGTTAGACAATATGACAAGCAATAAACCAATAACAATTGATATACAGGCAAGGATAATATAAGCATACAGACAAACCTTAATCATTCAATCAGTACTAAACCAAACAACCTCATATACAGGTGTATCTCAATAAATTAGAATGTCGTGTAAAAGTTCATTTATTTCAGTAATTCAACTCAAATTGTGAAATTCGTGTATTAAATAAATTCAGTGCACACAGACTGAAGTAGTTTAAGTCTTTGGTTCTTTTAATTGTGATGATTTTGGCTCACATTTAACAAAAACCCACCAATTCACTATCTCAACAAATTAGAATACTTCATAAGACCAATAAAAAAACATTTTTGGTGAATTGTTGGCCTTCTGGAAAGTATGTTCATTTACTGTACATGTACTCAATACTTGGTAGGGGCTCCTTTTGCTTTAATTACTGCCTCAATTCGGTGTGGCATGGAGGTGATCAGTTTGTGGCACTGCTGAGGTGGTATAGAAGCCCAGGTTTCTTTGACAGTGGCCTTCAGCTCATCCGCATTTTGAAATCATCTCAATTAAAAGAACCAAAGACTTAAACTACTTCAGTCTGTGTGCATTGAATTTATTTAATAAAAGAGTTTCACAATTTGAGTTGAATTACTGAAATAAATGAAATTTTCCACGACATTCTAATTTATTGAGATGCACCTGTATGTAGCATGAAAATGTTAGCGTGTAAAATTAATGTTGACAACGTTGCCTCTCAATTAACCTCTTCTGATGTGCAGTCTTGTACCTTTTGGTTCAGATCAAAGTTTGTATTTTATGATTCACCATGTAGCTGGCTGGTTTGGATCCTGGCTTATAATAAGATTTTTAAATTTTTTTAATCCATATGGGAAAATGAATGGGAAAGATACTTCAGAAACCAAGGCCACTGATTGGTGGGCGCTGGTGTATTATTATTATAAACAGTGAATAGTTTACCTTACAGCCATAAACTGTGTTTTACTAGTTTGCTAGTTCTATGCAAGTGTTTTTTGGGTGAGTGACATTCTCATCTCACTCTATAGATCATTTTGTTGGACAAAAATGTGTAACTACAGCTACACTTTACATAAAGAGCAACTCCTGCACATTTTCTTCCTCTGACTAATCAGTCTCTCTGTTAGTGTGAATTAAAAAAGAAACTGGAGCACTTTTACCGAGATATTCGTGCGCTTGATTTAATCGGGATTCTCTGCACAGAACCGTGCCTGGGATGTGAGACGTAAATTAATTACCTCTGGTGCTCAGATCTCTCATCTGGCTGCAACAGCTGCTGCTCTCTTGGCTGGAACTTGTTACGCCAATCTACTCTCCTCAATATGGCGCTGTCTGTCCCCTGATGCTCTCCACACAGTCTAAATAAATCTCCCGGTGATTAAAATTAGCTTGAAAAAGAGCAGTTTTTGGACTTCCAAATATAAGAACACACTGTGTTATTGCAGTTTTATTAAAGATCTGTCACTGGCCAGGTTCTGCTTTAAAGGAATATGCTGAGTTATTTACAACTGCCTTTTATTTTATGTGCATTAGCGTAAATATGATTCCCATTTGATTGTATGAACTGCAGGTACAGAGTCTTGCTGCATAGACGTTCATTTATAACTCAGAACTTAGCCAATTGAAAATGATATTTTAAGAAATGACACGCAATATGGTATGACATGATTTCATGTTGAGGTTGACATATTTACCACAGGTAAAACCCAAGAGAGCTGGTTTCCTATTAACATATACTGTACGTTTTAGGTAAAAGCATTAGCTAAATAAAAATCTAGATTTTGGTGTTGTGGATGCAGTGCAAATTATTTTTAAGCCTAATTTCTAAGAAAAGTAATAATACATCTCCCTTCAAATAAGCCGCATGATTTGAGGTATGATTTATGTCCATAGCACAAACTGTGTGGGATGAGTTACATGACAAAATGTTCTGGTTAGGGCCTTGTTCAAATCCCTAATCCTAAAGGGATTTGGATTTCTGTAAAAGCATTGGCTAAATAAAAACTTAGTTATTTATGATATGTAATTTTTTTTCTTTCTAGGTAATGTTTACTGAGGAAGATGTGAAGTTCTATTTGGCTGAGTTGGCCTTGGCTTTGGATCATCTTCATAGTCTGGGCATCATCTACCGTGATCTTAAACCAGAGAAGTAAGACCAAAGCCCATGTATTACCAGTAAATAGCAATCATGTGTTCTAATTTACACTGCAGCCTACTTAAGTGCCCTAGATAGTGACCTTATGCCTGTAAGGCCACAAGAGTGACCTTGTGTTGATAACCTCAGCACGACCTCGATTGGACATAATGTTCAGGAGGGCTTAAATCCTGCATTTTCAAGCAGCAGTATAATCCACATCTGGATTAGAGTCAAAAGAACTCTGTGAAACTCTCATGTAATTAAAGTCATAATTCAGAGGTTCAAACTGGGTGATGCCAACACCCAGAGACCTTCCTGTGCTGCTCCTGTTTCTTTGGTGCAGTTGCAGCAGCATCTGTTTTGTGTCCTTCTGCTGGATTCAGAGTGCTTGTCAAAGCTTATTCCCTAACATTACACTGAAATGTGTACAGGGCTCAACAGTAGAGATGACCTGATGGTCCGGGATCAGTGTGTGAGAGTTTCATCCATGTTGAGGCTTATTAAGTACAAGTGTTTATTCTTCAAACATTTTATATTGTCATATGTACAGAATATTTTTCTAACTTCTGTTGATTTACACATTTCACATATTTAACATTATGTAGCTGGCTAATCTAGATGCATTTTATGTAATTGCGAGAATGACTAGTGAAAATATTTGTAATCAGTAATGATTATGCCAATGTTTTTCTTCTTGGAGTAACTTGATGGGCTGTCTACAGCTATTATTGCAAATTATATGTAGAAAATTCTTTACTTGTTTGATTGTTTTTGTAAAATAAA